ATTTTTTATTCTAAGGACTTTTCCTACAATTTGATAGCATGACCAATGCTTTCAAATTCATATTTTGGGAGTCTTATGATGACTTTACCTCCCTTTACCATTAATACTTTAATAGATTGATCCTATTGAAACGGCTTCTCTACAAAAGGGAGAAATTTATAAGAGGTTCACATTTAATATCTCTAATTATTTTAATGTTCTCATAAATTTAAGCATTTTATTATATAAACTTACATTTTATAAAGTTTTTTTTTTTAATTTGTTCTTTCATAATCTAATTTTATAATTTAAACCGTATCAAACTAAAAAATAAAATTTCAATCTCACATTTTTTTTTTTTAGTTGGAATGATTAGAATCTTCCCTATACTGCATCAAAAGTTAAATTCTGAATTTAACTTATAAAATAACACTTACTTTACTGATGTATTAGTACTTTCAAGTTATTTATTCTCATTAATGTAAAAATAAAAATAAAGAATAAAAAAGATGGGAACTTGGATATTTGATTTGTTAGAACAGATTTTGGGTCACACGTTCTCCTACAAATTGCAAATACATAAGCATGCACAAGAAATAATTCTGGGGAAAAACAATAAAATTCATTTTCTTCTCCAAAATAATGACATTTAAACAAATTTTGGTAGCAAAAAATTTATACCTATAATTTCATTGAATATATTCACTCTGAATGGAGGGAGATTTCCTGTAACAGGAAAAATATCAAACCCACGGCCATATAAAGCTAATTGAAACTACATGACATGTAATCCAATTTGAAACAAAAAACTGCCGCCCAGCAGGGACAGAGGTTAATAATTCTGACTGAAGAAAAAAATGGGTTGTACCATTAGATTATCTGACGACTGAAGGAATAAAGTGATGAATGAAGGCACTAGCAATTACTATATAATCAGGCTTTCAAGTATATCAGGCATCACCTCTCTAGGGGGAGGGCGAGCTTCCTGCAAGCCAACCCCATACACCACCTGAGTTTTGCCTCTGCTTTTCATTTAAGGCAGCTTGCTCAGAAGCAGCTCTTTGACGCTGTAGGAGTTCAAGTTCCTTTTGCAGCGTTTCCATTGTCTGGAGCGTCTGTCTTAGTTCTGCAACATCAACCTGCAATCAAAGGGTATTAGTGGACAATCAAATGTTTTTACCATAAGCAAGGTGAGACACTTAATTGGTCAAGTTAGTACCAGTATGTTGTCAGGACAAGAACATTGAAAAAGGAACCATGAAACACTTAATTGGTCAGAACATACCTCTAGTTTGAAACATCTTCACTGCTCAGCAGCAAGTTGACCTCGTACAGATTGGAGCTCCTACAATGTGGACAGCACTTTTCAGCCAAGGCCTTTATGCACCATAAGTTATAATTAACTTCTAGGAATCTTTTACATTAGAAAAGAGGTTTCATTCAATATCTAAATGATGTCTAGCTGAATTGTGTTCTCTCTATACACTACTGTTTGCCATTATAATATCCTATAGGAATGTTGCAGACAGCAAAGTTTGCTCCTGCTTTTTGGTAAATTTTAAACATGCCAGAAAACAGAGGTTTCTAAGAATCTAAACATGAAAAAAGTACCAGGAATTCCATGACCTCCCAACATAAGCATCAAGCATTACCTTATACAAGTCTGTGTTTCGAGTCTCAGCTTCCATTAATTCCTGCTTAAGCTTAAGTTTTTGCGACTTCTCCTTGTTGAGTGATGATTCCAACTTTTCTTTCTCTACCTTCAGTACTGTTACAACGTGTTCACCAGTTTTCCCACCCTTGGCTTTCTGCATCATTAAACTCTAATATTTAAGTGTTTGAAAGGAATAAAATAAAAAAGAAAAAGAGAGAAAATTGACATACCGAATAACTTAAAAGTTTATGGCCAAAAAGAAAAAAAAAACTTTAAAAGTTTCAAAGCCTAATGGTGTCATTTATAATGCATAAAAGAGAAATAAAACTTCCAGGTGACTAATTTGCAGTTCCAAAATGGAATTTTGAGAGATCAGAGCAATTTGCTCAGAAAAATCATAAACATTTACAGGGAAATATCCCTATGCACTGTTGGCCATGAATGTTAATAAGCAGATGACTTATATTTGTAACTGTGAGCAGGTGATTTATACTGAACTGATATAGAAACTAAAATGAATGCGAAAATGATACTTACTGTGGACTCTGGGTCATTGTTATCGATAACAATTTCTCGAATTTTTCCTTCTTGGCCAACTTCAAACTCAGACTCCAAATCTCTGGTAGGGTTTGTAGCACTATGCACAGCAGGAACGCTGACAGGCACAGGAGCTTCCATCATCTTTGATTGCAGGGATGACTTGTGACTTGGCTTAAGAACATTAACCTAATAGCAAGACACAAACTGAATAAAGAGCAAGATAAGGAAAAGTAGTGCAGAATGAGGCTAAAAGTAAACCAACCTCATTGTTATAACGCCCATTATAGCCTCCAAAAGATACAAGTATATCTTCACCATTGAAGGAGCTTACTACCAAACTCAAGCCCTGCAAGAAGTGAGTGAAGATCAGATATGGCAGGGGAATAATCTACCACTTTATCAAGACAGTCAGGTCACTTTCTTTACAAGCTCAAAAGTTCTATCATTTAATGGCACTATAACTAATATATTAACAGTAACCCACAGCTATAGCAAGTCGGGCATTGAAAACAATCTTTAACATTATTAAAATGAGTTAATTTTCTATAATATGAAAAAGTATTAACAAAAATTTGTCTACTTGTAAGAAACAGAGTTACAAACTTTTTACACTTAATACATATATAGGGCAGAAATCGTAATTTACACACTGTAAACAGAATCAGATGAACTATCATAGTAAAGCTAGCAAGCATCCCTGTAGAGTACCTCACTGGCAAGTGGAACGCGTCCTTGAACTGATGTCACAACGGACCACGTAAGTGTAGACATGTTGAGAACAACAGTTTCTGACGCACCTGCCAGAAAATAGTGGAAATTTGAAAATTAAGGAGCATGTTAAATACATAAAGCATATTCTTCGTACAACCAATTTGGAAGCAAGGTTTGTTAAGGTAATAAAGCTTATCATGTCCACAGGGTAGTTACTTTTCATATAATGAATTCCCCAAGATAAGTTATAGTGTTATACACTTCTATCAAAACCTTTGGAGCACAGCTGTATGGTACAGCATTTACGTTACACTTCGCTCGTTATTTTTTTATTTTTTTATTTTTTGGAAAATTTTTTGTCATTATTTACTAGTAGTAATTCAACTGCTCAGAAGTAGTTTCAGCTTTGCTTCATTGATGGCAACAGTTTTAGTTGCAGGCTTCCAGCAATAACTAAAATCAGCTCTGGTTCATCAGTGCTGATATTTCTAGTTGGAGCAATTACTCCTTTTAGCATGGTAGCAAACCAGACCAGCATTCCAATTCAGTTGAATCATGAATTAGGCACTAAGAATCTTCAAAATTCATTTTCATCAAACACCACCTCCCAAATGGTAATTGCCCTATTCTTCATTCTATATCTTGTCAATTCTCATCATCTCATTTATTCTCTAAAATTATATTGACAATTTTCAGTTTGCCTACCCATTTGAATCATTTGAAGAATAAAAAGAATCTTCCCTCACAATTTTTTTTATTTACAATAAAAGGTTACACATAAATTTCAGAGAAATTTTAAAGAGTAGTTTTCATTTTATAGTTGTAAAATAAATAAAAATGGCTAAGAATACAAATCACAAAAAGGAGAAATTTTAAACAAATTAAGAAAAAATAATAATAAATAACTTCTACACCAGAAAATCCAATTTTTTCAATTTGAATTTATTTTCATATATGTAAATTACATAAAAATGTTCTCTAGAGATATTCTAAACCTTGTGGTTGACCCAATGACAGGCGGTTTGACTAGCAAACTAATCAACAAAGACCTCAAACACTTTGATACGTAGTCTAGTTTTTACAGCTATGCCTTATAGTCATCTTAGACAAATCTCTTTGCCCTAAAAAGGCCATTTGGAGACTAACAAGCCTCAAGAAATGGATTTGGCTTTGGATTTGGACAAGAATAATAAACAAAAGGTTTCCTTTAACAAGATAAATAAACCAGTCTGAGATCTTATCTCATCTGATCTGTGATTCATTCTTTCAAGTTTGAGCATTTTATGTGTTCAATGCCAATTGGACCTTTTAACAAGAATCCAACAGTCCATCCTGATTTAAATATTTGCACAAGTTTGCTTGAACCATATTCAGATCATCACCAAAAAATTCTTGACATAACACAGCCTGAATTAACAGATCTCAATCTCAAATATTGAAAATTTTAAAATATCTAACAAGCAAGCACATCTAAGGTCAGGATCAACAATCAAGAACTAGGTCACCAACAATCTTATATTTGAATGAGGAAGTTGTAAGAAATATACCACTCTTGTTGTCACCGCCACCAACAATAAACCAATTCTCCCCAATTGTCACACTTGCATGCCCTGCTCTTGGAGTTGGGATTTCACCTTGTTGTGTGGGTCTTGACCATTCCATCTGTAAAATGCAGGTAAATGAAGAAGAGATAACATTTCATTACACAAAAAAAAAAAAAAAAAAAAAAAAAAAGTAACAGAAGTTATCTTACAGCTTGCAAATCGAGGACATGCAAGTCATTGAAACAAGTAGCATGCGACCCCCCACCAAAAATAACAAGGTAACGGTCCACGTGTACAGCAGCAGCATGATCAGATCTAGCTGAAGGAGGCACACCTCTGCACGACAATTAAAGGTAAATGCATGTCACTAATTAACTTATCTAACAAGTACTTGAACAACTCTCTTCTAATTCATAAAATAATTGGAAAGTAATTACTGAAATTTAAAACGTCTAACTGCAAACAGTTTAAATTTGGTAAAATATGAAATTCTCTTTTGCAGATTTCAATCTTAACCAGGGGGAAAAAAAAAATTCAATCAGCAGTCTACTTGGGCACCTGGGTGCCAAGATCCTAGTTCCAGCCTTTAAAACACACAGTAGCAAATATAATATTACTCATGACCTTTATGTTTAGGCAAGAAAAGGACTAGAACCACTTCCTTTTAGCAAAAGAACTCAACTATCACATGCATCCTCAGTAGTAGACATTTTAATCAACAGATCAATTTCAAACTTGATGTTCTTTAACAAATAACAAACAAAGAAGAAAAGGGTGGCAAGAATGAGAATATAATAAGCATGAAGATGTAATTGCTAGAAACTATCATACACAGCATCAACTTCATCCCATGTCATGGTCTCTAAGTCAAGTATATGTAGATCACTCAAGAGTGTCCGCTTTGCATCTTGTCCCCCAAATATCACCAAACTTGTTCCCACAAGGGTCACAGATTGACCTCCGCGCGATACCTGTGAAGTACATGTATCAGGGAAATGAACTTTGAGAACATATTACAAAGTGCCAGAAGATCAGAAAAGCTTCAAATTTTACCTAAATGACTACTCATTCAAAGTTCAAACTTCAAAGTTGCAAAGAGTGCCTATGTACTAGGCAGTGGTTGAGTGCCTCACCTGGGCAGCTAGGCACCCAGCCACTGCCTCTAGGGCTTTTGCAGCATTTTGAAATGGTATGAGATATTTATAGGCCCAATACTTGACTGAGATTAGCCCATTTTTGCAACACTTTTAAACACCAACATATATTTTAGTCCCAATACTAACATTTCTATTGCTTTCTGCAACACTGGTTCTGGTTCACATAACCAGTTACTGCCATTGAACTGAGAAAGAAGAAAGCAAGCAAGTACACTGACCCAAATTTTTTATTTCACAAGCTTTAACTTCTCCCCTCTCTCCCTTTTGTTTCCTTCTTTTGGTTCACTTTATTTGCCAAGATTCCAATATGCAAACAATCTCTAACTTAAAAGCACCCAGCAAACAACATTACTGTGGGCAAATGAGAACTTAAGATTTGGCTCACTGGAGAGCATTACCCATTCTTCAAGGACAACTGATTTCACTTGTTCCCACTATTTTCACCAATATCATAAAAAATAGAAGTTGGCAAAATCCATACCAAAGAGTTATTTAGAGCCACTCCCCAGCTGAACTTCTTAATGCTTGCAGATATTTTTCAATTAATAAAGAGAGAAGAAATGTAGTCAAGAGAAACAACAGACAAATACCGGTGACTGGCCGTACGTCTTGAAGTTTGACCAAGTACCAGTCTGCAGATCAAATGCCTTCACTGCAAGAATAACACAGAATAGAAAGTAAATCATCAACTGGGACAAAAAGAAGGAAAAACAAAGAGAAGTAAAACTCCCAACTCACTGCCACCGTTTCAATGGATGAGATATCATGAGTATGATAATATAATTATTTAAGTTATGTTTACAAATTTTCAAAGAAATAATACAGTTTGGATAAAAATGGGGCTAGTTTCGGCAGCCTTGTAGCATGTATACATTCACTTTAGAACTTCATGTTGCCATAGCAAATAATTAAAATGGACAAGTCTAGATATCTTAAAGAATTATACAAAACTTTTGGGAACAAAAAGGATGAAGTGTAATTCATTTCTTAGTTTTTCCTTGTAGCTCCCTCAAAATATCCCCCCACAGTTTGTAAAGGGTGCTAATGCAATATCTTCAACAAGAAATTTATACATGCAGCCTGCATATTAATAAACAAGGCTAAAGCAATAGCATACCCCGGATAGTTTCAGAAGCAACCTTTGTATGGCCAGCAACTGAGAGAAGCTTGTTTTCCCATGGTATCTACCGGAAAAAAAGATAAGATTATATGACATACACAGATAAAGAAATAGAACTGGACGAGACTTTTCAGCAAATAGATACTAAGCAAGTGTGCATTTTTTCTGATAGAAATTATAGCTTTTAGAAGGTGTGAAGAATCTAAAACAAAGGTAGCTCTTCACTAACCAAGGAATGACCAGCACATGGGGCTACAGCTACCGGTGAGGATGATTCAGATGATTCAGATGATACAGGCTCAGCCTTAACATCAACCTTTGACCAAGTCCAACCTTTCAAATCTAGAATCTGTGTCACTCATCAAATTAGTGGGGAAATCATATAAGTAGCTAAACTGATGCACGAGTAGAATATCATTATTATTACCAAATAAGAACAAAATTAAATCT